CAGAGGCTGCTTCTCTTGATTATCATAGAATCATAGAATCAGCTGGGTTGGAAGGGACCTCTGAGATCATCAAGTCCAACCCTTGATCCAACACCGCCGTGGTTACTAGACCATGGCACTGGGTGCCACATCCAGTCTCATCTTAAAAACCTCCAGGGATGATGAATCCACCACTTCCCTGGGCAGCCCACTCCAATGCCTGATTACCCTTTTTGTAAAGAATTTCTTCCTAATATCTAACGTAAACCTCGTCTGACACAGCTTAAGACCATGCCTTCTTGTCTTGCTGATCACTGCCTGGGAGAAGAGACCAACCCCCACCTGGCTACAACCTCCTTTCAGGGAGTTGTAGAGAGTGATGAGGTCTCCCCTGAGCCTCCTCTTCTCCAGGCTGAACAACTCCAGTTGCCTCAGCCTCTCCTCACAGGACTTGTGCTCAAGTCCCTTCACCAGCCTTTTTGCTCTTCTCTGGACCTGCTCCAGCACCTCAATATTCTTCCTGAAATTATTCTTGCCAGCCCTTTCCATGGCTTTGCCTTTATAATGATAAAATCAGTTTTTCTTGGTGGGTTTTCATGCCCAATAACACAGTGGAACCTTATTATTTATGCCTTACAGGCAGGATTCCTTTCCCAGCACAGCAACTGCTGTTGTGAATGGCCTTAAATTCTGAAGCTCAGCACTGGGAAGCCAAGCCAGGCCGATGAGGCGGCTGTGACGGAAGGATTGCATAACGGGCTTAGCTTGGGGCTGCTCGTGGTGCAGCTTTACCTCTGCCTCCATCTAAATCCAGAGCCCAGGACCACGCCCAGGAATGACCCAGGCTCCCAAAGGCCACATCGTTCAGTAAGAATTGAATTCTCACACGCCTCACTTTAAAAAACAGGGTCTGAGCTTCTCTGGCACTGAAATTGCATGTTCAGTCTCCCAGTCCTGACTGTTATGTGAGTTTTCCCTTCTTTTCCTTAATTTCTGGTGCCTGCTGATTTTTCCTAGTTCTTCTGTGACTTGTAACTGGGATGAAATCAATGCACTTCTAAAAATTACTCCAAAAACTATGTTAATAACAGGGGAGGATTTCCAACCTATACCCAAAATGGTCTGTGTTTAACACAACATTCCATGCTATGGGAAGGATGTAATTTTGCATTAAAACCCTTAAAGTAGTTTTCTCTAAGGAATTAATTGGATGTGTTTGTAGCTGACTTTGTTTTCTTGCTTAGAAAGAGAGCAGGCTTGCAAAGTGCTGCAGAAAAAGCCTTGGATGCAAAATAAATCTTTATTTCCCCTCTAAGTACCATTCTGGGGTGTAGTGACAGATCTGAAGAATTATTTTGTATCTTACATATTTCTTTATTTTACAAATTTCAGGATGCACTTATGTACTCCATCAAAAACATGGCAAAATACAGAAGACTAGACCTGACTGTCTTGGTATTTGTAAATTAAAACTCAAATTAAATTTGAATTAACTTCCTCCTGTAGCCCTCTTTAAAGAAGGAGTAGGGATGGATGCACAGATTATCCCTTAATTTCCTGCTCTGCAGTTTGGTTTGCAAGCTTCCCCTTTGCCTCTGGAATGGAATGTTTCCCCGCTACTTTACACAGTATAAATGTTTAAAGGCTTTTTTTCCATGGCATTTCAAGGTACAGTGAGGGACCCTGCATACGGTAAAGTGCTTTAAATCACCGATGGCATCAGCTTGGGATTGACTAGACCTTTACATAAACATGATTTAACACTATCTAAGTGGTTCCAGTTTGTCATTGATTTGTTCCTGGCAGTAATTCTGGGGCCTGGTTCTTCTCACTCATACCAGGGAAAATCAGGAGCAGGCAATGAAGTCAGAGGCACTGTGTGATGAGTAAAATAGGATGTAAAAGTCCTGTAGTAGTATTTAAAAGTATTCTGAGGATGACTCTGTGCTCTTTTATGCTTCTGCAGAGTGCCAGGTCAGTGCTGTTGAAATGAGAATTTATTTTTTAAATTATTTTTTTCATTCTCCCTGTGGCTGGAATGTGGGGAGCAGGAGGAGAAGCTCTGGGGCAGCACAGGGTCGGGTCAGGTGAAGGGGGTCACACAGCCACAACCTTGGGTGCTCCAAAGCATCCACTGAGTGCCCGCCCATTACTGGGTGTTGTTGGTCTTCCCATCAGCAAAGTGGATCCTGCTGTAGACCATCACCATGGAATATCTTAGAGCCTGTGAGGCCCCTGGGTACTGCAGCGGTGGGCCTTGCCACAGGAGCTGTATAAATAGACACAATAGTGCAAAACTTCTTTCATCTGATCTGCTGCTGAATTTATCTTAAACTTCCTGTGCTCACAGAACACACATGAAACTGTGTTGGTGACACCAATTTCAGAGGGCTCATCTCTGCTTGGAAAAGCAAGTGAGAGAATTTATTTTGAGACATCAGGAAGGTGTGAATTTCATCTTCGCAATTAACTACGTCTAAATACGGTGCTCAACCCTT